GCAGCTCTCTCATGTCTCCTCCTCACTCTCTACCAGCCACGTTGTGATGAAGTGTTTTATTCTTTCTGTCTGTGGTTATAAGTCCCCTCTCCAGCTAGTGTTCAGTTGCTTATACAAGATGATTTCTCTATAACTTAGTTGTAATTCCAGATTGGTCCTGGGAAGAGGTTAGTGTAGCTTCCACTCACTCCTCCACCATCTTGGATCTTGAGTAAAATTCTTTTTTCTTTTCTCTGTTCACTTGGGTGTTTTCTTCTACATTGTCTACCACATCACTGATTCAAGCCCTACTTCTCTACTCTGCTGTTGATTCCTTCTAATGTGTCCTTCATTTCAGTTCTTGTATTTTTCAATTGTGACTGGTTCTTTTTTACAGTTTCCAGCTATTTGTTGAAGTTCTGAGTTATTTTTTTCCTAAGTTAATTAAAAACATTCTTTTAACCAGTGTTTTGAACTCTGTCTCTAGTAGACTGCTGTCTCCATTTCCTTTAGTCCTTTTTCTTGAGTTTTGTCCTGTTCTTTTATTTGGAGTGTTTGTCTCCTCATTTGGGCTGCCTTCATGTATTTGTTTCTATGTATTAGGTAGAAATGCTACATCTCCCAGATTTGGCAGAGTGGCCTTAAATAGTAGGTGTCCTCTAAGGCTCAGCGGTACAGTCTCTTTGTTGACTTGTTCACTTGAGCTAGGCACTCCAGGAGTATCCATCAGGTGAGTGGTGCTGTGTCCTTCTGCTCTAGTTGAGCCTTGAATGTTGTTGGCATATCAGTGGATGGGACTGACCTTCAGACTGACTGGCTTTGACTACAGTAGACAAGTTGTTGTGTGAGGGCTTACCTCACAGGGCAGGAATTACTTTAGTAGGGCTATGGTGCTAGTGCAGTCTGACCTTTGAATGTTTCATTTGTGGAGTTTTGATCTTAATCCATCTACTCGGTGTCTTGGTTCTGGAAGCTCTTGAGAGGAGCTCTGGTGTAGGCCAAGGTCAGCTGCCATTTGTTCCTGGCTGGAGAATGCCTAGTATGAGCTACAAAATTACCTATGGTTGGCTGCCTCTTGTGCTGGGCTTGAAGGCACTTGCAAGAGGCTATGTTGTGAACTGAAGCCAGCTGCCACTAATGCCATGCATGGGACTGTTGGTGGATACCACAATGTGAACTAAGGCCAGTTGCCTCATGTGCTGGGTTGGTGGCCGCTTAGTTGAAGCTACATACCAGAGCAACACTGGCCGCAGATATTGTTGGGTTTAGGGCCACTTGGAGTTATAATACAAGTTAAGGCTGGTTGCCCCTTGTGCTAGTGTTGGGGCAGTTTAGCAAAAGGTACAGAACACACCATAGTCAACTGCTCTTGTTTCAGGTATGTGAACCTTTGATTTTAACAAAGTCTATAGTGTGATCCAAGGTAAGGCTACTTGTGTGGAAAATCTGGTGGAAGTGATTTGTCAGGGCATGTAAGTTGGGTTGGGTCTCAAAGAATCACCAGGGTGAGGTGGTGTTAGCCAGGTTCATGGAGAGCTCAGAGATGGCACCCACCAGCACCTGCTGGTTGGGTGCAGGGAAGCCTCAAGAAAGAAGCAATGGCCCCTGATAGAGCCTCTGTCCCCCAAGAGAGCTGCTCTGGTCCCTGCCCTTTCAACCCTGAAGCCAGTCAGTTCAGTTCCTCCATGTCCCTGGCACTATTCAAGCTGCCAATGCCACACTGGAGCCCAGAGCGAATAAGGTTGTAACTAAATCTGTATGCAAGCCCTCAAAAGAAATGCCTGGGATTCCAGTAGCGCTTCATCTCACTTGGATGCAATCCCCACAGATTTTCATAGCCAGATGTTACGGGAACTATTCCTGGCACTGATGCTCTGAGCAGGGGAGGTGGGGGAATGGGAACCCTTGCTCCTCAGGCATCCGTTTGCAGCTGAGGTACCCCTCCTGTTTCTTAATCACAACAAGGGTGTGGGACCTGCCTATTCTGTGTCTCTGTCCCTCCTACTAGTCTCCATGTGGCTTCTTTATAACCTTATAGGACTTCAGATACTCTTGAGGTGGTTTTCAATGATGGTTGTATAATTTAGTGCTAAATTTTGATGTGATCATGGGAAGAGGCAAGCACAGCATTTACCTACTTGGACATCATGTCCAGAAGTCGGTCTATGCTCTATTTTTAAAATTATGTTCTAAAAGAAACTTGTAATTAGCTAATACTAAACCAGGCACCCAGCCAAATATTAACTTAAGTTCTTCATTTACTCTTCAGAACCACCTTAAGAAGTATTTTAAAAGACCAGTAACAGCTGAGGAACCCAAAGGCACTCAGAGAAGGTCCGGGGGTGCGTGGGCAGGGGTGGCTCACCTGTGTCCTGCATCCACTCTGTGAGGGTAGGAGACAGATTTGTCTTACTCTCCTGGCATCTAATACAGTGCAGTACACCCAGGAAGCACTCAATTAATGAATACATGCTCTTTACTAAAAGGAGAGCACTTTCAAATGATCTAATAGGTGACTTTCCTGTGAAAGAGGCGTTTATTGCAAAGAAAGGAAAAAGCTTTAAAGGTAGATCCTCTCAATATATGGTATCTTTTTTAATCCTAATAAGTCCATATTATTTCCCTAATACAAACTTCCCATCCCATATTTTCATCAGGCAGATACCCAACTAACACCCAGCAAGAGATACCAGAAGTTTAGTCTATCTGAATATGAGATGGAGGAGGATCAAAAAAACAGCAAGTCAGCCATAAAATAAGTTTATTTTATGAATCAATTTAATTCTCCTCACCCCCGCCTTTTTAAAATATTATGAGCAATATACGCCATTATGATAGCTATTAAGGGTGAAAGGATTAATTAAAACTATAATTATCTGATAAGACTAGCCTACTCTCTAATGAGATTTAGGGCAAATTCATCTACTTCAGCTAAAAATACTGGACAGAATAAAAATAGGTGAATAATGAAATGAAAATTAACCCTGCAGGCCCTTTTCCCACTATATTTTTCCCACTATATTTTTCCTAAGTGAAGTGACCTAAGATATCATTCAAAGAGTCATAGTGTGTTTTTAACTTTTATTAGTAAGATTTCTGAGTACAAATAACAAATTTAACTTGATATTTATGAAAAAAAGTACTCTCTAAGGTTTGTTCATAAAGAAAAACCTATTCTGTACATTTTAATCTCTAATTTTAATGCTTCACACCATAATGCTTCTTTAAGTCTATAACTTAATTTTAGATTTAAATTTAATAATTCTGTCTTGTTGCATCTGGTTAAAGAGCCTAGAAAACATCAGGTAGAGAAAACCAAGAGAGTAATTAAAATGACCTAAATATAAAACCTTACCAAAAAAGCTTTTTTAAAAGCCTGTAAGACAAAACAACCTAAGTATTTAAATATTTTTGGCAGAAAAATTAGCAGCTATGAACAAAATTAACATTACATAATATTTTATTAGTAACTGCATTACAATATTGTGGTTGACATATATTAGATTTACAACATACTAAATGCTTATTTATCTTAGACAAAAAAATCTATTTATTAAAACATTTTAAATATATAGTTTAGCACCTTGGGGAGATTCAATTCCCAATAAATGACAGGAACACAATTTAAAAGATGGCTGGTATATCTTTTAATTAGAGACCTAACCAGGGAAGTCTTGTTAAATAGCTATGAAATCATATTCAATAATAAGCATTTATAAGAATTCAAGATAAACAGTTAACACTTGTATCCCAATCAGTATGTATGCTTGGCATTAGAAATCATACCATGAATGAATGTACAGTAAACTCTTGAAATAAAAAAAGCTCATTTTAGAATAAGTGCCAATCTACATTTTTAAATTCTTCCCCTGACACACTATTTCTACCATTCTTCATTTTAACAATGTTAACAGAAAACTCTCTGTGGTTGGTAATGTATTATCACTTCTTAAAGATCAATCATACCTAGCATAATCCAAGATCATAAAGTCCTTTGCAGATGAAGTAAGCAAAAGACAAATGAAAATGCATTTCAACAGAAAAACATTCACCCTAGACTGTAAGCAGAATTCCCACTTCTAAAACACTTTTGATCCAGTTTGCTTTAAAAATAGTTCTAGAAATACAATAGTATTACACTATCATTTTCTCTTTGGTTTGAGAATAAGCTCAAATCTTAATAGTATATATTAAAATTTCCAAGTTAGATTACTTTGGAAACATAATTGAGTTTAAAATCTTTCTATACTGGAATAAAATTTATTCTATTTCATGTATTTGGTATGAGTCAATCTCAGATACAAATAGTGCAGGAGAACAAAAAGAGGAACTGCTGATTATGTACTACTGGGAGGCATGTCAGAACTGTGTGCAAACAAACATCTTCTAAATTCAACCTAATATGTGTTAACCCAGTTGTCGGTGATTTAATGAGGCTTTTAATTAGGAAGTGAGTAGCCCTTAACTCTGGTTCCTTCCAAAGGAATGAGAAATCCCAATGTTGTGGCTGCTTTCATTTAAAAGTAGCTTAGCCTTGCTATTTAAGTATGGGACCTTCACCCCTACCCACTAAGGACCTGGTTCTGAAGTAGTACTCGTTCTCCACCACCTGGAAGTTACACTTCCCAACACAGAGTCTCTCACACTTAATTTCCATCAGTAATCAGCAGGAAGCTTAGTTTTGGCCATATGCTCACTGGCCTAAATACAAATAAATAAATAGGGATTAAATATAGAAAATGAGTATGAACTCCAATGGAGCGAAACCTCCCATAAGAGCTGATTTAAGAGGTAAAACGTATTTGCAAATAAAGTAAAAACTAAGCAAGTGCTCTCTCTATTTTAGGTTTCATTCAAAAGAGGCTCCTTCATTCTTGGTGAATTAGCTGTGTGATGTGATATGATGTACTTATTTTTATTTGAACTGTATTTACCTACTAAAATCATTCCTTAAATGTTTATAATATATACTATAAAAATATTTTAATATTTACAATTGGAAAAATATATTCTACAGTCAGTCATCTCAGTGCTATGTCTTCTATTTCATCTTCTACAGAACCAACTGCTTTTGCTGCTGGTTTATTGTTTGCATTTCTTAATCTGTGTCTGCTTGGATTAAAACGTCTTCCTTCACTGAAGAAAAAGTCATCTTCATTATGTTCTCTACCCCTGCTGCTTTTGTCCCTAGAGAGAAAATCTAAAGGGTCAAAGTCTCCTTTGCTGGCAGCCAGAGAACTCTGGTCGCTGCTTTTAGAAGAAATGGTGCTGCTGCCACTTGTACCGAATAGCTGTTCCATCAGATTAGCTTTTTTCTCTTTTCTTGTAGTTAAATCTACATTGTCTTTACTAAGTTTCTCTATTCCGTTTCTTTGGAAATCCAAAAGGCCACTTTTTTGGCTAAAATTATTTGACTTCCCTGATGCTTTTGCAAATGAAGGCACATAGCTGCCAAATGCAAGCTCATTTGGAGAGACTGGGCTTCTGATACGTCCTGGGTTCTGATCATCTCCTTTTGAAGTAAAAAGACTGATGTCTTGCAAGTGATGGCCATTGAATAATCTCTCTGAGGATTCAGAGAACATGTATGTTTTGGGGCTTTTCTCTGGGGGGTGCAGTTCAGATTCTAAATCAGGTAGCAATGGCAAAAAAGGACCTTTTAGATTCTGAGAATCTTGGAGTTCTCTGTTGATTTCATTCATTTTAGCAAGTAGCAGTTCTCTTTTCAGTCTTTCTTCTTCCTCTTCTTCTAATTTATCAATATTTTTAATTTGGTACATTTTCACTTGGTATTTTCCAGTTTCCAAAGCTGGCTTAGCTTCTCTTTCCAGCATAGGTGTCTTGTCTTTTTGCTTTTTAGCAAGCTTTTCTCTTTCCCATTCTGTATAAAATGAAATTTTATAGCAGTCATTATTTTTAAACAGGAAACCCCAACTCTTTTACAATACAAGTCTTATTTAGTTTGGGTATTAACGCTACAGTGAAAATGAACACCATAAATTTCATTTCTATACTTGATATTCTGGGATTCAAAAAGAATATACTTAATGTGTATTGCATTTAAAATTCACATTCACATTTAAAGAAAAATTTTGTTCTTCAATTAAAGGGTGGGAAAGAAAGTTCTCTATGTTTTATACCTGCTATAGTGCTACACGCTGAGGGTGGTGGGATAGATGGAGAAAAAATTTTTAACTTAAAAATAAATTGACCCTATGGATGTCATACCCTTCGGAAGACAGATCACTTATGCAGTATTCTGACAGATGCATTATCCTGAATCTAATTATGAGAAAACTTCAGATAAACCTCTATTGAGGAACATTCTATTAAAAATCAAACAAGGTCTGTATTCATCAGTAATGTAAATCTCACAAAATATTTTTTTAAAGGTAAAAAAGCTATTCCAGATAAGAAAATACTATAATGGACAATACTGTGTCAGCTGACAAAACTAGTATAGATAGCCAATTAGAGAAGTGGGTTGTATCAAAGTTAAATTTCCTGAGATCAAAAACCATACTAGAATGACATAAGAGAAAGTCCTTATTTTGGAGAACTACACATGAAAATATTTTACAGTATGGGCATGGGGTATACAGCTTAAATAGTTCTTTGGCTATTATTGCTGCTTTGCTAAAATTTGGCATTATTTCCCAAGAAAAAATTTTAAGTATTAAAATATATAAGAACACCTGAACACCCTATATATTTGGTAATTTTAGTAAATGACATACATTCTTACTGATGTCAGAGATCATTCCATACAGACTCCAGAGTAAAAAAAAAAAAATCAGTCAAAAAGGACAAAGAAAAGTGAGAGTCTATTACTTTATTCCTTTTCCTGGTACCTAGACAGAATTGAACATAACACCTAATTTTCTGTTCTATAGATTAACATGTGAAAGTATCCCTTTGTGCATTAGCTAATAGTGATGTAAACATAGCTTCCATTCAACTGTTACACTGTTTTAAGTACACACACAAATGTACATATACTCATTTAAGTAACAATTAGTCATGACCTATGTTTCATTAACTATAAGAGGGAAAAGAGTGATTTTTCTGTAAGCATCTACTATATAACTAACAGAATACATTCAAGGCTAGGTCTCACCTGTGCCTTAAAGACATTTTATCCAGATGGAAATAAATTGATTCCTGAACTTCATTTCCAGTATCTGAAACTATGTGAGTTGGTTCACTAAACTTCTACAATAATGATTGAACACAGTAAAGATTTACTTTACAAATTAAAAACTAAAGAAAAATTATAGGAATATATTCAGGACCTCATAATTCATTGATTTTAATGCTTGGGCTAGTCTACACACTAGAGAGTTTCAAGGTAAAGCCAATAAAGACAGTTGTACTTCAGTTACATCTTTGTCAAGCTTTAGTTAATACACAAATAATTTTTTTCTTTGTCTGACTCTTCTCTAGGTAACTTTGTCCTTATTCCCTTACCAAAATTGCAATTGAAATACACTTTTCACTTTTTTCTTTCTTTAGTAACTTTATTCAAATGCTTGCAATTCCTGGTAGAACACCTGCTACCACTGTATCAACCTTGTCTTGCTCTGTATATCCAATTCATTCTTCAGCTGGAAGACATTAGGGGATGTTAACCCTCTCTTTCCCAATGGATGCTGACTCATCACATGCTTAAACTAACTCTTACCATCATCCAGTTTCTCAGCCTCTTGTTTTACAACACGGATTCCTTGATCTTTAACAAATTTTTCTTTTCTTTGTACAGCTGGGTTTAGAATCCCTGCTTCTTCATGCTCATTTCTCTCTTCATAGTTCAGGTTCTATTACATGTTTTTTTAAAAAAAATATGCAAGTTCACATGAAGAAAAATTAGAAGCTACTTAAATATTATAGATTTATCTCCCATTAAGCATGATATCAACTAAGTTAGAAATTAAAGCAAATTTTTAATTAATAAGTCAGTAAGTCAGAAGTTACCACCCTTTGAAAAATGCTTCAAAAGCACACAACTTTCTTTAGTTAAAATGTTAAAATTTTAAAGAAGCATTTCTAAGCTATATTAAAACCAATATAATACAAATAAAGTCAATACCCTACATAAAATCATAAAGAGAGAAGTTTCAGAAGTATTATTGCTTTGTGCATTTCACAATAAAATCTGATTAATTCAGTTAATCAGAAAGACTATTTAACCAACGGTAAGGGCCAACTGAGATGGTGCTAACTGTAACACAGGCAGAGACAAGTACATGGAATCTTTCAGTTTATACCAGGATATGAGTCTCAACTATCCCTTTAGGCCAAAAGCCTTCAATTAATAAATTTTGTATTATTTAAATCAAGTAAAAATATGAACTTAAATTCCTTGTTTCATATGGTCTCTTTCACATGTATAATTTTTCTTAATAAAAGTAAAATATCTATTATTAGTAGACTTGTGTAGTAGAGCATTGTCCCTTAGTATCCATCTTCCCCTTCTTCCTTTTAGTTACAAAATACCTTGGACTGCTCAACTGGAGACTATATTGCTAGCCTCCCTTGCAGCTAGATAGGACCAATAAGGTATGAGTAGAAGTGTGCTCACAATTATAAAAGCAAAAACTGCTTGCCCTTCATGTCCTAATCCCTCCTTCTCATAGGGGTTGTTAGGCAGTTCTAACCATAGAGAAGAGGACTACACTCTTTAAGGTGGAAGAGCAATAAGATAGAAGATAACTGCCATGAAATAATACTTTCTGCCTATTATGGACTACCCTTTGACCTTCAGACTATTACAAGAGAAAGAAACTTGTATTTTGCTTGAGCCATTGTATTCTAAGTCTCTTTCCAATAGCAGCTTAGCCTGTACTTTAACTAACACAGCTCCCATTTGTTGAGGCACTTTAAAGTGGCAAGATCAGTCTTAAGAACTTCATAATCTTCGTGATTATGAAGCACAACTCTAAATGATAACACTCCCATTTTATAAATTGGGAAATTGAAGCGCCAAGAAGTCACGCAACTAAAATGTCAGAACCAGAATTTAACAAAAGAGCAATGCTAATTCTAAGGTTATACTCTTTTTACTGTATCAAGCTGCTATTCCTCCTGCTGAAATTTATAAATACCAAATATTTTTATCATCTTAAAATTTACTAACTTTATACCACATCTTACTTTATTATTCCACATTTTACCCTTTCAAACAGACCAATTAACATGATCTCTAGTCTCCATGATGACAGTGCAAATACAGGAAGAAATACAGCAGATACAGTTAACTTGTCTAAATTAAAACAAAATTAAGAAACAAAAAACTAGAGTACACACAGGAACCAAATCAGATTATCCTTTCTCTCTTATACAAGAGATCATCTCAGGATCATGGGGAAACTACAAGGCACAAAAATATAGCATTATATAAGTACAATGGCTCTCTGGTACACATCACTTTGGATTTTAAACTAAACACTAAAGAGAAAAGTCTCAGAGAAAAGTACCCTCCAGTAGTCAGAATATAAATGAAGGTCTAACACAGACCCACTATATGCCACTCTAATTTGAATGGTATAGATTCCACTGCAATTACTTTGCTCAGCATTTAGCTAACTTGTAAAATTTTCCCCCAAAATAAATGTAGTCAAATTCTAAAAAATCATTTGAAAACTGCTATAATTTGCTCTTTAAAGACTATCTCAGCACATGCAAAGTAAGAAACTCAGTCAATTTTTCGTCCCTTCTACCTCCAACCCAGAAGGTACAAAAACCTTTCTGAAGCATCTGAAAGGTGCAATGTGAACTAAGAGTCAATCTAAAGAATTTAACAAATACATACAATGTTATCTCGCTCTTTGAAAGGCTAGTTGCATATTTACAGATACAGCATTAGTGTCACTGCTGAAATTTTAAAATGTTTGAAATTGTATTTTAAGAATAACTTCAAACCTAGAGTTTGGTACCTAATCATATTGCTAAACTCACCAAAGTAAGATGTTTGGGTTCCCATTTGTTTTCATAACACATAACTCTTTGTGGTGTAATAGGAAATTCTTCCAGCTTGAAGTCTTCACTGGTTTGTACTCCTTTTGTACACTGGTATGTAAAATCACATTGGCATGCAGCTACCATGAAAATTATAAAATAATTTTTCTAATTGTAGTAAACATTGCTAAGATATATGGAATTCAGCTGGTATATATATTTGCCATCTAAATGAGCCTAATGCATGTTTTGCTTAGCTCCATGACTACTCACGTTAGTTTTTGTTTCTAGGATTTACTGGCAGTTATGTAATTTGATGACAGTTCTGACCAGTAAATCCTATTAAGCTTTTATGAAGTTTATGTTTTTAAATTTTTGAAATTTACCAAAGAGGAAAATTATACTCTCGTTTAAAAAAATATAAAGATATGCATAACAATACCAAAGTATTTATGAGTGAAATGAAATATCTGGATTTTGCTTTATAATACTCTGAGGAAAAAAGTAAAAAAAAATAAGATTAGTAAAATGTATAACTAACTGTTAGAGCTAGGTGACATGTAAATAAAGGTTCATAATTCTATAATCTCTAGTTTGGAGTGTCCTTATGAAGAAAATTTTTTAGAAATTATGCAAAATATAACTTTTACAAACTTGGGAAAAACTTGAGAAAGCTGAAACGATTTCTGAAAACTAATGTTAAATATTAAACTAGTCAATAGTTTAAAGAAAACTTGAATTTATTTCAATGATGTTCTTTTCCCTTTGCCTTCCTTCTATTTCAGCATTTATTTTGTTGTTAGTAATAGCTACCATGTGTTTTTTAAAAAATAATAGCTACTATACCATTTTTTCTTGATATATTTCCTTTTTCTTTCTTTGGAGAAGACTTTGGTAGACGATTAGAATATATGTTTTTTATATCCAATTCTCTCTCCTTTTCCTGAAAACAAACCCAGTACAATGAAGGACACAAGAGTCTCAGTTTAAAACAAAACAGAAATCCTCACCTTGACAACTGGGATTATACTTACCAAACTGGAATATACCTAGTTCAGCTTCCCTTTGTAACTACCTAACTACAGAAAGGAATATCTCTAGGATATTTAGGTTTAGGTAGAGCAAGGATTTCTCCCTAAAGTCCAATATATACTGGTAATCAAAAAAAAAAAAAAAAAAAAAAAAGAGAGAGAGAGCATAAGGCAACATTCATTTTCTCCCCACTCCTACCTGGTAGCGCTAGCATTGTCCTAAACTGTCTTCCAGTTTAAGCAACAGAGACAAAGAATTTATTTAGCTCTCTCAAATGTGAGTTATAAATTACTGAGTTAAAAATTAAACCTTTTTTTAGAAAACACAAGTGTTCTTGACCATTTTGGGGCTATAGATTTCTCTGAGAATTCGATTAACAAAGTAAAAATTCTATGCAAGATAATGCATAAACACTAAATTTTGCACAAAATTTCAACCCATAAATGATCTCAGGAGAGAATTAAGAAGAGCTGTTTTAACAAAATTAACTAATTTGAATGCTTCCTCTGAGTATAAACACTGTGAAAATTAAGGGCATTATTTGAAATAACTTTAAAATTAATTAATGGAGTTATCTGAGGAAGAACACTGGATTATTCAACTGTACAACCAAAAAACTCTAGTTCCCATATTTTACAGAATTTTTATAACTTCAGTTACATAATACCTCTTAGTGTATTCAATGTTTCATTTTTGACAAATGTTATAGTGATTAAATCAACAAACCTTTTCTTTATAAATACCAAAGATGGTGTTGGAATTTTGTAAATGATACTGTACCACTAACAAATATGAAAAGTAACAGTGTTGTAAAAATATTTAGTTTTTATTTAACATAGAAAGAAATTGTTCGATTTAAAATAAAGTGCTTACCTTTAGTTTTTCATATAGTTGTTGCAGCTTGTTTTGAAGAACTTTATTTTCATCATGAGCGTCGTATGCCTTTTTCCTTTCAGCAAGCAACTGTCGTTGGAAACTGTTACTACTCAGTTCAAGGTTTTTTGTTAGTTCCTATGATATGTGTGAAAACACATAAAAATAGCACTTAAAAATAATTAAAGAGCAAAACATTTCACTTAGCATCAAAGTGATTTTTTTAGTAGTACTGTACAAGACATACAAACCAGGCTGGGATTAGTGTTTCTAAACAAAATAAACTGTGAAATAAACTGACCAAACAATTTAGTACTTAGATATGATTCTTTGTTTTTCTCAATGATTTATAAATAATTTCTTAAGCATTTGTCTGAGGCATACATGGATAGTCATTTAAGTTGGGAGCAAAAGACAACTAAAGGCTGTGATGAAAAACACGGGCTTTTGAGAATCATGGTTTGGGCAAACAGATACAAAGACACCTATGTAAAATTACAAGGCACTGTTCAAGGTGCAAAGATTACTTTGTAAAATATTTCTAAGTAAAAACAATAGGCATCTCAGTGGTCTTCAAAATGTTCCATGAAGTTTATGAGGATTTGTAAAATATTTTCTTTTACGTAATCTCAACATCATGGTAACATGAGTCATTCCTTTTCTTCTCTCCTGTTTGACTTAGAACTAATCAGACCTCCATAATTGAACAAACGTGCTCCTCTGCACAGCGCATCAAGATACTTGAGCAATCCATCCATCTGTACACTCAAAAGTAGGTGGACTGGATCTCAGAGAAGGCTGCAGAGCCAGGAGAGTGGCAATGGCAGCAGAGGTAGTCCAGCATGACTTTTCTGGCAGAGGACATGGAGGGTGAAGGTGGCGAGTGGAATGTCTGCCTTGCTGTGCATGCTGCAGCTGGAGGAACCCATTGCTCTGAGAAGAGACAGCAGTCACTGGGTAGAGGAAAGGAAAAAGAAGGCGGCAGAAAAAGAGATGAAGGAATATGTTCCCTTCTATGTACTGCAAGATATTGGGGAAAAAAATCTACCCAGAGACCTCTGGGACTCCCTCCACTGGAGGACCCCCCTCCCTGCATGAGCAACACCCAAAGCTGCACACACCTCCCCTCACTCTACTGCCACCATCGTTTTTTCCCTCCAGCTTTTTTTTAATGCATGACCTCCCAAACTTAGTGGTGAGTCAGCTTTGGTAAGAGAAACCAAAATATGTGCTATAGAGCCACCTTCTAGAAAACAAAAGAAAGGCTCATAATTATGAATCTGTTGAACTGTTAGAATCAAAGTGAACAAAAGTATTCACTACTTCAAATGCAGCAGGAGAGGAACTTTCCAACAGACACAGTGAAAAAAATATGGTAACATAGTATCACAAAAAGAAAACAACAATTTCCGAACAATCACATCCCAAAATATGGAATATTGTGATCTCACTGATAAAGAATTCAAAATAATTGCTATGAAGATATCTTACGAGCTACAAGAAAACTCAGAAAGGCAATACAGTGACTTCAAAACAAAATTAACAGTTAAATGGAATACTTTACAAAGATAGTGCAATTATAAAAAGCATCGAAGAATGCTTTACAGTGCACTGGAAAGAGGGAAGATCAGTTGAAAGAGATAATAAACAAGCTGGAGGATAGGAATTTAGAATTGAATTTAGGCAGAACAAGAGAGCAAACAAAGATTTTTTTAAAGTGAAGAAACCCTACAACTGCTGTCAGACTGCATTCAGAGAGCCAGCATTAGATGAATGGGTAAACCAAAAGGAGAAAAGAGGGAAAAGGGAGCAGAGACTGAAGACAAAATCGCTGAGAAATTCCCAAACCTGAGAAAGATGCTGTACATTCCAGTCCATGAAGCTATTAAAACAAACACTACATTATCTCAACACAAAAAAAGACCTTATCCAAGTCACATATTAAAATTGTTGAAAGTCAATGACAAAGTGTTTTAAAGGCAACAGAATGGGGGAAAAAAAACACCTCAGTAAGCTACAAATGAACACACATTAAGGTATCAGCAGATTGCTCAGCAGAAACTCTACAGGCTAGGAGAGTATGGAAGAGCATATTCAAAATATTGAAAGATTAAAATTGCCAGCCAAGAATACTCTATCCAGCAAAGTTACCCTTCACATATGAAGGAGCAGTAAGGCTTTCCCAAACAAAAGCTGAGGGGATTCACCACCACTAGACCTGACTTACAAGAAATGTTGAAAGGGACCCTTCAAGTTGAAATGAAAACAAACAAACAAAAAAACAAACAAACAAAAGTACACAAAACTCTGATTAAGGTGATGCAGTCAAAATTAGAAAACTGTTACTCTTTTTTTAGAATAGTATGCTAAACAATTAGGTTAAAGAAAGAGAACATTAAAAATAACTGTAACTACAACTTGGTAACAAAATCACAGCATAAAATGATACTTTGTGACATTAGAAATATAAAAGAGGGAGGATAAACAGATGGAACATTTACAGGTGAATAAAAAATAGAATGCTATCAGCCAAAAAAGAACTATTTCATCTATGGGATTTAAAATATATATATATGTATATTTTATTGATTACGCTATTACAGTTGTCCCATTTCTTTCCTCCTCCTTATTCCCCTCCACCCTGCACCCCACTCCCATCAGCATTCTCCCTCCCTTAGTTCATGTCCGTGGGTCATACATGTAAGTTCTTTGGCTTCTCCATTTCCTATACTATTCTTAACCTCTCCCTGTCTGTTTTGTACCTACTGTTTATGCTTCTTATTCCCTATACCTTTTTCCCCATTCGGGAATTTTTATGTAAACATCATGGTAACTACAAAGCAAAAATGTATACCAGAGATATGAAGCATAAAAAAGGGGGAGACTGAGCAAATCACCATGGAAAACCACCAATTTACAAACGTAGAGAGAAACAGATGGAAAAAGAAACAAGGAAAAGACAAATAACTGGAAGACAAAAGATAAATTGGTAATAAATCCTTACATATCAACATTCAACTTGAATGTAAATGTATTGAGTTTACCAATCAAAAGACAGAGTGGATAGCTGGATAAAAATACAAGTTCCATCTGGACTCAACTATATGCTGCCACCAGGATACTTATTATAGCTCTAAAGACACACATAGACTCAAAGTAAAAGGATGGAATATGATATTCCAGGCAAACAAAAATCAAAAGATGGTGGGCAGAGCCATACTTATATCAGACAAAATAGACTTCAAGCCAAAGAGGATAAGAAGAGGCAAAGATCATTATGTAACGATAAAGGGGTCTAATATCAAGAAGATATAACAATCAATCATAAATACATATGTTCCAAACACCTAAGCACTGAAATACATTAAGCAAATACTAATGAATCTTAATAGAGAAACAAATGATACAATAATATTAGGGGAATTTAATACCCCACTATCAGCAATGGATAAGTTTTCCAGACAGAAAATCAATTAAGTAAATGTTGGAATTAAACCACACTTTAGAACACCTGGACATAAAAGACATAACAGAACATTCCATTCAACAGCAGCAGAATACACATTCTCAAGTGCACATGAAACATTCCACATGATATATCATGTAATTAGACACAAAACAAATCTTAGGAAATTTAGGGTTGAAATCATACCAGCTATCTTTTCTGACCAAAATGGTAGGAAACAAATCAAAATAAAAATGAGAGGATCTACAAAGAAGTGGAAACTAAACAACACACTTCTAAACAACTATTGAGTCAACCCCCTAAAAAGGGAAAAAAACTATTTCTGAACAAATAAAACACACAAAATCTTGTGGCATGCAACCAAAGCAGTTCTGAAAGAAAATTTTATAATAATAAATGCACATATTAAGAAACTAGAAAGACTTCAAATAAACATAACTTTACACCTCAATAGACTAGACAAAGTAGAAATTAATCCCAAAGTTAGAACAAGGAAGGAAAAAATAAAGATCTGCAAAATGTAGCAGAAACAAAGAAAAGTAGCCAAAATGGAGAGATGAAGAAATGAAAGAACAGGACAAAGCTCTAGAAAAAGAACTAAGTAAAGTGAAGAAAACCAATCTACCAGATACAGACTTCAAACCACTGGTTATAAGGATGCTCAATTAACTCAGGGGAAGAATAGATGAACTCAGTAAGAACTTCAACAAAGAGACAGAAACCATAAAAAAGAAACAGTCAGAAATGAAGGATATACCTGACTAGTGTGGCTCAGTTGGTTGGGCACCATCCACAAAGCAAAACGTGGCTTGGTTTGATTCCCATTCAGGGCACATGCCTAGGCTATGGGTTCAATCCCCAGTTGGGGTGTGTATGACAGGAAACTGATTTGATAATTCTCTCTCACATCAATGTTTCCCTCCCTCTCCTCTCTCTCCCTTTCCCTCTCTCTAAAAATAAATAAAATCTTAAAAAAGAAATGAAGAATACAACAACTGGAATGAGGATACATTGGAAGAAATCAACAGCAGATTTCTTGGGGACCACTTTGTGTGGTATCAGGAATTATAGCCCTACACAAGCTAGCCACCCCCTCGCCCCCTGCCTGTAAGCCTCGACTAGAAAGCCAGGAATGATGGAAGGTGCATGGTCCGATACTAAACACCACAGGTCCCCTGGGAGATCTGGCCTAAAGAATGCATTATATTTACTGAAGCTTGCTCTGCTTTGTACTGCCCTGATAAAGAAAAACCAAGTGTGTAGTCTCAAATAGGGGAAAAGATTCCTGAGCCCCTGAACCTTGGCTTAATGACCATCTGGCGTCTGTATGTCTGACAGACCCTATCCCAAGGCTGATTGATATGTTCCTTTTCTTGTTATCTATAGCCCTCTGAAGTACGTCAATTAGCTTTGCATGCATGTACGCTGTATACCCCTATGCATATCGTTCTCAATAGAAGCCATTTCAGAGAAGGGTTCAGGGCATTCTCCACTAGAGGGAATTGCCACCCCCTTTTCCTGGCAGACCGAGTGTATGGAACAACTTAATTTTTCATCTGCAGCAGCTGGGGGGACTTCGGGATGGGGTACCCCCCTCACTGATTAGGTGAAGAAGAGGACTGGACCAGCAATCTGTAACAAGGTAGGAAAAAAAAAAAAACCCACTGGAACAGCAAAAAGAAAAAATATTGAAAAAATTAGGACAATTTAAGGTACCCCTGGGACAACATCAAGTGTACCAACATCTGAATGGTAAGGGGACCAGAAAAAGAAGAGAGAGAGCAGGAATTCCAAACCTATTAGGAGAATAATGACTGAAAATTTCCCTAACCCTGAATAATAAAATAGACATACAAATCCAAGAAGCTCAGAGATTTCCAAGGAAGATGAACCCAAAAAAGTCTACATTAAACATATCATAAGTCAAATGCCAAAGTGAGAATATTAAAAGTAGCAAGAGAAAATCAGTTAGTTACATGCAAGGGAGCTCCCATAAGACTACCAGCCAATTTTTCAACGCAGACTTTTCAGGTCAGAAGGTATCGGCACAGCCAAGATTACTCTACCCAGCAAGACTATGATTTAGAATCAAAAAGGACAGAAGGAATGGGGAAAGAGGACAATGGTGGAAAGAAGGGGAAGGGACTAGACAAAGAACATGTACGAATGACCCATGGACATGGACAACAGAGTGGGAATTGACTGTGGGAGTGGGGGGTGGGGGTGGGATGGGTGAGGGGAGTAAAGGGGTAAAAATTGAGACAACTGTAATAGAATAAACATGATTTATAAATTTAAAAAATAAATTAATTTTAAAAAAACAGTCAAAAAAGAGATCATTTCCCAGAAAAGAAAAAGGTTAGGAGTTCATCACCACTAAACTAGTATTACAAGAAAAGTTAAAGGAACTTCTTTAAGTAGAAAAGAAAGATGAAACATAGGAATAAACTGTAATAAAGAAAAAATTCTCACTGGCAAAGACAAACACTTAATAAGCAGAAGATTAACCGACTATAAAGCTAGTACAAAGGTTAAGAGGCAAAGGAGGAAGAGCATGTGTAATTACAACAATAAATTAAGGAATACAAAAGAAGTAAAACCATGTAAATATGGAGGAGGTGAGTAAAATAAGGTAGTGATTTCAGTAGTGCTTTGGCAGAGAGGATCTGGGCCTGGAACCGGAAGCTGTCAAAAGCTCAGAAGGAGTTTGTGCCCCAAGCCCTGATGCCGGTCCTCTGGCCCCGAGGCTGGACGACCAGCGACCCATCTGATGCAGCCAGAGTTCACTCCATCTCCCCTGGACCAACCTCTACCTCCGACCGTTGTTGCCTCTAAGAGCCTGCCTGTGGTCCCCTTGTCCTCTACCAGTCAGCCTCTAACTATTTATCCTAAGAGCCTACCAATAGTTTCCTTGGCCTCTAGGAGCCAGCCTCCAGTCACTCTTCCCTCTGCAAGCCTGCCTGCTGTCCCCTTGTCCTCTAAAGGGCAGCCTTTGGACACCTTGGTCTCTAAGATCCAGACTGCAGTCCCCGTGGTCTCACAGAGCCACCCCCTGGTGCCTGTGGTCTCTCAGATCCACCCCTTGGTGTCTGCGGCTGCACAGAGCCATCTCCAGGGCCCTGTAGCTTCAGGGAGCAATTTCCAGAATTTTTCTCCGGCCTCTCAAACTCAGCCTTCAGCTGTTCAGGCTGCTCAAGCCCAGGCTCTGGCCACCGAGGTCTCCCTGATCCAGCTTCTGCCAGCCCCATGTTTTTAGAACCAATCCGTGGACCCACAGGTCACTCCAGCTGTCCAGGACACCCTGTATGACACCCAACAGGCCCCCAAAGAGCAGTGCTTTAGTTCAAGAGATTGCTCTCAGCCAGTCTTCACATGCCCAGGAGCCCTACGCAGGCCAGGAGCTAAGTCAAGACACTGTGCCCTGACACTGTGCCCCACCTCCCCACATCCCTGGCTTTAGCTACTGAGGCCCAGAAGCCAATGCCCCATGAAAGTGCGCCTGCCCCCACCGCTGAGAACAGCCACCTTCACTAGTACAAAACTAGATGCTCAGGCCTCTGCCAAAGAACTGCCTTGGGAGGAATCTTCACCTACATTATTTCTTGATCATTTCCAGGTATACATTCTAGCCATTTTCTCAACCCCTTCTATTAAAAAAAATTAAGTTAGTAAAAACAAAACAAAACAGAACAAAAAAAAAAAAACCCCAAAAAACTTACAGAAAGTCCTCAAAATAGGAAAGAAGGGAGCAAGAGAATAAAAAACGAGTAGGGGAGAATTTTTTTAAAAATCAGAAAACAGTTAATAAAGTGGCAGTAACTTTATTTGCCTGTTCCAAAACCAGACAAAGACCCTACAAAAAAGAAAAATATAGGCCCATATCCCTGATAAATATAGATGCAAATATCCTCAAAAGTATATTAACAAACCAAATTCAGCAAAATATTAAAAAGATACACCTAGATTAAGTGAGACTTATTTCTGAGATGCAAGGTTGGTTCAATATCCTCAAATCAATTATTGTGATACATCACATAAACAAAATGAAGTTTAAAAATCATATGATCATATCAGTAGATGTAGAAAAGGCATTTGACAAAATCTCATTTCCATTTATGATAATAGCTTCAAGCCATGTACAGTAGTACCTCGGTACTCGTCGTTAATTCTTTCTGGAACTTGTGACGAATGCCAAAACTGATGAGTACTGAACAATGAAGTATGTTCTCTTGCAAGGCGGTGTTGTGACTCATACAAGTTCTAGCAAGTGCAACAAGTCCCAAGCAAGCGCCGAGTGCCGAAACATTTTTTTTCTCGTCAAAATGCAACAAGTACAGGATTTGACAAATTCTGAAGCCCACGAGAACTGAGGTATGACTGTATTAAAAACACCTAATAAATACATTGCAAAAAGCTAACTTATTTATAGTTCTGATTTTCCTTTGCTCAGAGAGCTCTCTCAGCAAACTTTATTCCTAAACTTTTTCCTTTATGCTTTCCAAACTACATATCAATTATTCTGCTGTATTCACAGACTAATAACTCAACATTGTTCTACCCACCTCTCATAACAGATTTCATTTTGGAGAGTAAGAGCACACCTCTTCCAAAATAGATCTTCTAGAAATGTTCAAAGAAATAAAAACAAAGTATTGTTCCTGTGGCATTTCTTATACAATAGCCCCAAAATGTCAGTTTTAAATACTACAGCTATTATATAGTATTTTCAATTTAGAGAAACAATCAGATAATCAAATAGTGTATTTCCCCAAAATAACTATGATCCACAGAATTAAACATTCATCCACTAATTTGTGGCCCTTTAATGTATACAATCTTTTGCATTTTCCTCTTAAATACAGAATGTTAACTTTTTCCTAACCTCTTACTTAGAAAAACAATGCTAAAAAAATCTTCATTTCCAAGCAAATGATGAACTACAATAAGCAATCTTAATAGAGCACATTAAATACCCGATGATACAAAACAGCACAATTAGAAGCTGTAGAAATTTTACCTTGATTCTTCTTTCAGTGTCGTCTAATTTTAACTCTGCTGCAACTAGTTTCTTTGCCAAGTCATCTCGTTCAGGTAGGTGTCTAGCCTCAGAGATCTTTTTCAGTTTCTTCAAGGAAAATTTCGTCCTATATAGTTCCTCTTCTGCTTCTTTCACCCTTTTCTCAGTTGTGCGTTCTTTCTCTTGAGATTTTCTTAAGCGTTCTTTGAGTGCTGTAATCTCATTGTTATGACGAGCAATAAGTTGTGAGATTTCATTTTCTGTATCTTCAAACTTATTCAGGGCTTTCTCCTGTCTGTACTGAAGCCTTTTCAAAGCCTTATTTTCTTTTAGCAGCTCAGCTAATTTGACCTGGAGTTCAGTTATTTCATTCTGCAATGCATTGATTTTTAGCAGTCTTGCAGAAAGAACCCGTTTTGTAACAAGATCAGTATCTTTCCTTGGTGGCTCCCTACTGAGGCTCTGGGAGCGAAATCTCACTCCCTTTCTATTGGCTGGACCCTTAGGACTTGGTTTCCTAGGGGCTGAAAAGGAAACAATAGTAACAGAAAGTGAAAGCTGTGTCAAATGTAGCATTACTTTTCATCCCAGCAAGTGGATCCATAACATTCTTTAGTTATTTTGCTCCTTAAAATATAATTTTATAATATTTAGTTAAATTATCAGATTTTATTTATATCTCTTAATATGTTTTTATTAAGACAGACCTGGAATCTTTTAAGAAAGTTTGAGAATATTCTTATCCATCAAAATGATATAACAATAGTTTATAGGGAATTATTTTATACCACTTTAAAAGATGGTAGTATCAGGATTTACCATTTTTAATTTTACAGTAAGATGACAAGTAAGAATTCATGCATGGGAAACATTAGCATGAGCATAGTGCCTAATAAACAATGGATAAAACATTGTGATATTCAAGTCATTTGTGCCAATATATTTGGCAAAGATCATTTAAAATGTGGAAATGTAACTTTTCTCTAAATTAATTAGAACTCTTTTTCTGTATTTGGTGAAGTAGGATGACAGCATGTTGTATAATCAGAAGATCTGGGTTTGGGACTCAGATTTACCACTAAATAACTCCTTGGGCAATTCAGCTAAACCTTTCTGGATCTATTTTCCCCACCCATGGAATGAGGATAATACCACCTACGTAATTATGCTGTTTTGAAGATTAAATCAAGTATGCTTATAAAACAAAATTCTCCACAAATATTCTCTGTCAGTAATAAGAACTTAATCCCCTTTATTAGTGATTGAAAATGGAAAATGCTCCAGCAGTACCAATGTGATTCTAAATGCTTTCTCAGGGGCTTTTTTTAGTATGATGTTCCTATCAATAACATCTGACATAATTTGAGAACAAGATAAAAACTAAACACTACATCCTAAAAATGTAGGCATATGAAATATGCCCTGGATGGAGGGCTCAGTGGATTGAGTGCTGGCCTGCAAACCAAAAGGTCACTGGTTCGATTCCCAGTCAGGGTACATGCCTGGGTTGTCAGCCAGGTCCTCAGATGGGGGCATGCAAGAGGCAACCACACATTGATGTTTCTTTCCCTTTCTTTCTCCCTTCCTTATCCTCTCTCTAAAAATAAATAAGTAAATAAATAAATATTCCTTTAGAAATGCTGAAATAAAAAGGAGGAAGAATTGTTATCAAACACACATATCTGCAAATTCAAGTATTCAGGATACTATTTTAATCATATTTGTTCTTTCCTTAGTTTAGTCTACACTGGTGATTGCAACATAAACAAGGGAAATTAACTTAGTGTTTAAGGAAAGGTATCAGTTTGGTCCTGTTGCTTGAAGGAGGGTAGACAAATTACCACAGATTTTAATTCAGAAGGCAATGCAAAGCAGAAAACTGTACAAGTCAGACTGAAGACAATAATTGAAATTTTTAAAGGTGATGTTAGAACTGCTTTTTCACAGCTTTTTCTCAATTACCTTCTCAAATAAGATTAGGCTTAAGAAGTTCTGACTCCTTAATTGTGTGGCCTCTGAAACTGCTCTGGGAAAGGAATGAAAAATCAAAGTATTTTTTACCAATAAGTCCCTAAGTATGTAAATTATTTCTTGGGAATAAATAAGCATTTTCCAATGTTCAATCCTGAAGTCTGTTTGTTTTTAATTATATGGAGCAAATGTTTAATATCAGATTATGCTCTTAACCACAAAATCAAAACAAGAGGCTCATACTGAGACAGACTCAGAGGAAGAGGCCAAAATCCTGCAGCACTGTACTGCAAAAAAAAAAAAAAAAAAAAAAAAGGAAGAGAGGGAAGGACAAATAGACAGACCAGCACCCAATTGTTAAAAGTATGAACATCTCTGAGAAGCAAGATCAGGGGTCCATGAAAGGGTTGTTTTCTATAGAAACATATATTCTTGTTGGTTTTTCAAAAAGCAAATATGTCTCAAAGTAAAAGTTTATATAGGCAATTTTAATTATACTCTTGCTTAAATCTTTTCAATGGCTAACTATTCCCCCACAGCAACAATCATATATTAGCTAGGATTCAAGGTATTTCATGATGTGGCCCATTTTCTTTTTCAGATTCCAATTTCACCACTCCTTGTCTTTCAATGCAAATTCTCACCATTCTAAGGTACTGCTGTTACAGTTGTGCTGCATTTTTTAACTCATACTATAATTACCTCATTTAACTTATCTCATTTTCTCTATGGTGTACCTGTAATCCTTACAAGTTTCATTACTAAGTACAGGTTGGGTTTTTCTTGACCAGGAATTTAAGATGAAGAGATTTCTAGAATATTACCTAGTCAAATGTGTATTAGTACCAGTTCCAGACTAGTAATACTTAAACAAGAAAAATTACTTCTTATTAATCTTGTATCCATTATAATACAGTTTAACTGAAAATAGACTGATGATCTCAAATCCCAAATTCTATTTCTAGGTTTTATTTGAACTTTTGCAGTAAATACTGCAATACCTAGGGGAAATAATTTTACTCAATCTAAAAAAAAATGCCTCTTAACCACTTTATATCAATGCTTTTCTACAAGGACTACTTTTTAGAAATGAAGACAAATTAAGGTACAAACATTTTGATATTTTTTGCCTTTACAGTACCCCCAAAACTCCAAAACAAGCATTTATTTAGGAAGAAAACAAAATGAGCAGCCTTAATTATGGCTCTTTCTTTTGTATATAGAATGACTTTCAATATAACAAAGGCTAATGTACAGTGCCATGAATAACATTTATATAAATTTATAAAAATATATTCTACTCAAAATCTAAATCAGCCTATTTCTATGCATATATTAAAGTACATGCTAACAGAAAAGTTTCCTTCATGCAAGCTTTCCTAAGTACCGAAAATAGGTCTTTAGAGTCTACTGGACACTCTTAAAGAACGTTTACCTTGGTGATGCACTTGGCTATCTGAAATGTGTCTTTTAGGATGTTTTCCCTTGATAATCATAGGTGAGGAAGGATTGACCAGCGATGACTGGCCAGAAGACTGTGGTGTGGTTCCAAAATCAGACGAACAATAATAGTAATGGTGTTTGCCTGCCTCACTTTCTTGGTCAGTATCTGGACTTCTTTCTCTTTCCCCCATGGTATGAAAATAAGTCTCTATTCACATACTTTCACAGATTCTTTCTTCCAGAAAAATCCGTAAGAAGCCTGAAGAATATTTTTAAAGTCTTTAGATCATGGTGAAAATATTTATATCTGTGCAATTTGTTTTTTCTATGTATCTGTAGTCCACAATTCACATTAGCAACCAGAAGAAACACTTTTTTCCTCTACAATTAAGGAAGGGAGAAAGGAAACTCATCATATTTCGTGATATAGATTTCGACAGTTAATTACAATGAAAGATACTAAAAGCAAAATAATATACTACTTACAATTTTAAAAAGAGGCTATAATTTAATTCGTCCATATTTTCACACAGAGTTATTTACAGTATTTGGAAAAAGCCTATCATAGTCAAGAAAGAGGACATGTAAAGTACCTGGCATATAATTGCTTCTGAATAAATGTTAACTGTATTTGAGCTCCTTGAATAGTAAGATTTATAATAAATACAAAAGCTGATTTTTAACAGGTGCATAATGATCAAATAACCAGTGTTTTTCTTTTTTGGGGAGTGGGGTGGGGTGGTAAAGAACCAGCTCGCTAATAACAAGGAAAAATATCTATGATTGACTACATAAAAATGTAAAACTAAAGTATGTAAATGTTAATCAAATTAAAACACTTGAAGAAAAACATTTGCAACATGACAGGAAAATGGTTACCATCCTTAACACATAAATAAATAAAACATACCACCCATAAGAAAAATAGGAGGTCAAAAGTTAAATGGGCAAATATTTACATTAAGACCCACAGCAGGCAGTACAAATAATAGGCACATAAAAATACTCAACCTCAAATGCCAACTTTAAACCTATCAAGTTACCAAAGATTTCAAAATAACACTCCATGCTGCCAGAATGACTATCAAGAGCCACAGAATTTTTGGAAAAATCACTGGCGAGATAAATTAAAATTCTAATTATGCTTTTAACCTTTAATCCAATAATTCTATTACTGGATACCAAGGCAATAATCCTAAAAATAGGGGAAAAGTTATATGCAAGTATTTAATGCAGTACCTTAAAAAAGAAAGCAACATAAATGTCTAACCACTGTGTAATAATTAAAAACAATATTGTAAAAATCAGTACAGTATAATATCACGCAGCTGTTAAGTTTACAAAAAGTCTGTGTTAAGAAAATCTTTATACTATTACAGTAAATTAAAAATTCAAATGAGTACATAAAATATCTCAACACATTCATTAAAAAAATACTGAGTATTTGATCTGAACTCAGGATCTGAAAATAATTTGTAAAGCAAATGGTGTATACACGCCAAAATGTTGTCTGTCTGGGCAACATGAATTTTACATTATTTTCTCTCTCGCTTAATAATTTTTATTTTTAATAAAATAAAATTAGATAATTTCTATAATTAAAATATTTTAATAACTTTAGAAGAAACAAAAATCCCACTAATAAAATTAAGTGTTAAAAGTATAGTGGTGCTAGTAATATATGAAAAAAGACGTACACAAGACAACACTACTACTATTCATTGCAGCACTACTGTAGCAGTTAAGGACTAAAACAATCAAAATGACCATCAATAAGGAACTGGCTACATATACACCTAAATATCCACACAATGAAGTACAGTATTATGAAGCTATTGAAGGAATAAGAACAATCTGTGCATATTCTCTGTAGTCAGGAGTGATCTGCAGGATATACCACACAAAAAAAAGATGGAGAAAAGCATGTATAATATACTACCATTTATCAAAAGAGTTATATATATATACAACTAATTTTTTATATTTTTAACAAGTAAAATAATAAACACCTAAATTTAAAAAGGGAGAGGTCTCTAGGGTAGGGCTGTCCAACAGAACTTCAGCAAGAAAGGAAATGTCCTATAGTCTGTGCTGTCCAATATAGCAGCTGGCCACATTTAGCTACTGAGCACTTAAAACGTGGCAAGTGAGGCTGAGGAACTAATTTTTAATTTAGTTGAATTTTAATTAACTTAAAATTTAAGAGCCACATGTACTGCTGGTTAGCTGACTGAAAAAACACCTGCAGGGGAAGAGAGGAAGCAGAGCTTAAGGGGTAGGGATAGGAGCTAGACTTTGTTGTCTGTAACTTTTGTGGACCTGAATATGGAAATTATAATTTTTAGAAATTAGATTTTTAAAAAGCAATTCCTATAAAATAAACAAATCAATCTAACCAGATATACAGTTTGTGGCAACACCACACAGATTGGCCAGCTAAAATGACTTCAAAACACAATGATTTGACTTGATATCGTCAGTGAGATACAGCCTACCAACAAAAAAAAGTGCAATATCGTCAACATACGAGGGAACAAATATAAGCTAATATGGGTTTTTAAATTCTGTAATTGAAATTTGAACTAGGAGTTTTAAGTATGAATTTACAATGGATTTTATATTAGGAAAAACTATTTCCTAGCTCTGTCCACTGAAAAATCCTAAAACAAGGAACAAATAAATTGCAAACAACATTCCTAACACCCAGATGTAGAATCTAAATACTATTTCCCCTTAAAAGAAACTAATGCTCCAAATGAAATATCTTATTCCACATCTGAGGGAGGACACATACGAGATGAATCTATCAATCTAGAAATTTGGTTATACTAGAAAGCAAAGTAGGTATCAGACACTAGATCAAGTGTCAAAAGGGCTCAGAAGCCAACTTGAAGGAGCTCATACTAGTAGTAAGATGGAACAATTTCACCATCAGAAAAGGATTAAAACATATCAGATACATTTAAATCCATGATGTCATGTAATACTTTTAAAAAACTAATTAGTCACCTTTGGAAGATGCTAGGGAACCAACTTATTCACCTGACAATTGACATTATAATGAAGAGAAAAAAATTCAAGCACGTATCTCGCCTATATTGTTACAAGTTATATTACAAATAACAAAACAGAAGTAACTCAATGGGAAGTGTTTTTTTTACAAAATTATTCTAGCTAATAAATGAAAAACAACATTTTAAATAACAAAATTAGAATCCTGCCATTTTGTACCCTCTAATGAAATAATGAAGCTAGCCAGTGATCACTAATAACTGCTAACACCACAGAATAGAAACAAGCAGACACTGTGTGCTTCCCAGACAGGGTACAATGATACCTCTGAAGTAATGTGCTCCCCCTACAAGAAAAACTAAATCTGATTCTGATCAAATCTATAAATGCACATGACAATTTACAGAGACTACAAGAGACATATGTAGAAGGAAGCAAAAATCAGGCTGTGGCAAATTCTATTAGGAAAAACGGGTTTCTTTAACACAAGCAGCAAAAGAAGAGGTGGGGAAGGTTATCTATATATTAAGAAAGTCCTAAGGGAAATAAGCAATTACAATCTATGAACCTCATTTCAATCTTGATGCAAACAAAATATGGAAAAGAAAATCATAAAATAATAGAGAAAATTTAAACAATGAATTGACATTTAATGATATTAAGGAATGATATTAAGGAATTACTTTAGGTGAGATAATGATATTGTGCTTATTTTTTAAAATGAACTCTTATCTTTTAGGGGTATATATTGAGATATTTATAGATAAAATTAAATAATGTCTGGGGTTTGCTTCAAAATAACCCAAGGGGAGGTAGGAATGTTTCACAGGCCTCTTACCCCTGGCCTCTACCCGCTAGAAGCCAACAGCGGGAGAGAGCTGACATACTCAGAATATCCAAATCACTAAAGCTATTGGTGAAAATGAAAAATGTCTTTTATTTTATGGAAAAACTAAATAGACTTTTGGGCCAACCCAATACATGAGAACACTTTCTTAATAATAATAAATTCAAGAAAAGCACCAGGAACATCAGAGAAAACTTTTGTACCTTTGCCAAGCGTCTGTTTATTTAGGATCAATTATCAAATAAGGCAGATATTTCTAACCTACATATGCTTGGTAACATCCTGTACGCTGTTAGAACTCTTCATGACAACAGAAGTGTTTTCTAAGTGTCCCTTAGAAAATACAGCTACCCAAAGATTTAAGCTTTCCTACAGTACAGAAACTTAGACACAGGTGAAAAATCACATTAGTCCTCATAAAAGCATTGTCGTCTGGCTGACGGTGCTGTCAGAAAAAGTTTAAACAAGCAGATAGTCAAACAAAAGTTAACAAGTTAAAGAAAAAAAAGATATGAAATGTTAGAACAAAAGAAGAAAGAAATAGATGAAAATGAAGTAAGGCACCTATTAGGATTATTACTATTAATTTTCCCTATGAAGTATAAACAAAAACAAAGTACAAAAGCTTAATAAGATTACATAACAATTTAGCACTGGAAGAAACCCTGGGGGATCACTCCTTTTTTTACATAGATTAAGGAAACTAAGGACCACAAAAACAAAACAACTTACCCAAGATCACAATTTATCTAAGATCTCAGAGCTAAATTAGTAAAACTTGAAATAGACTACAAGTTTTCCAAATCCTAATGAGCAACCTATTCAATATTTCATTATCAACAATAAGATGAGAAATTACCCCATCTTTGAAACCACGATCAGCTGCATCTATCCCATACCGCTGCCCTCTTCTTGCTATAACTGAAGTATTTCTACTTTTTATTTTAGAGCTAAACCTTTCACATGTCCCGTCTTCTGCCCCACACCTTCTCTCCATCTCAAAAAATTCCTGCAGTTGTGTCCTCTCTACAGGATCATTCTTATGAATAAAGAGGCTCTAATAAAGCTATCACTTGGCTGCATGTCCTACTACATTTACAACCCATTTTTTCTCTACTCCAATTTTCAAATAAAAATTTTTAAGAATAATCTATAATCTAGAATATCTCTACTTCTTTTCCAACCATTTTCTTCTGAATCCACACTAGTCAGATTTTCATCCCCACTGAAATAGCTTTTATCAAAACAGACAATGATGTTCACCTTGACTAAATCTAATAGCCAATTTTCTGTCCTATTCATCCCTGACCTCAGAGCCTCATTTGATACAACTAATCATCATTCCTCCCTTTCTAAAACACTCTCTTTTCTTACTTA